CAGGCAGCCAGAGGCTTGGGCGCACTCTCCCCGGGTACAGCGCACTTTTTCCCTCCGTGGCCCCAGCACGCACCGCCAGTCGGGTCTCAGGAAGTCTTTAGCTAGAACCCGGCGGCCTGTTTGCAGTGTGGGAGGCGGTGGCTTCTCCTTGTCTGTATTTTCAAAAAAAACTTTTTTACAGAGAATATCACTTTTATGATTAGAGAAAGCAGCCAGTGTTTACAGAAGAATCACTGATATATGACTTGGCTATTCATGAGCACTGTCTCTACCTTTCTTGATTATGTATTAGTTAATTGCAAAGAGATTCAAAGAGCTTCCAGGTTCAAAATTCACTGGCGGATAATACAGGTGTGTGTAACCGAGATGACTCTAGAGACAGTTGGATATGTTCTGAGCTCTTGTGGTAGATCTGTTCTAGGAGAAAAAATGATTGCCAAGGCAGAGATGTTAGTCTCCAGGTTACTGCTTACTATTTTCTGGTTTGGATCTAAGACCAAAAGACTGCAGGAGACTTTCTGGCTTCACTATGGAGTGTGGAGAAGGCAGTTGCGTGGTTGTCCTGATGCCTAGATAGCATACTTCCGAGATGGACATTCCTGCTCCCTTCATCTCCTTGCAGAGCGCAGCTAGAGAGTTAGTTCCCTTTAGGTGTGTAACATCAATCTTGATGTTTGTGCAAAGCAGTCCTGGCCAGCTGGTACAGCATGGTTCATTGCTCCCAGTGTACACAACAAAATCATCAATCATTAACATAAAAAGCTTTCCCAGGGCTATGTTCCCCGGTGCTGGGCAATGGTTGATCATGGTTCTAGGTTCCCTTGGAGACCTGCTTGGAGGGAGTGAGCAATCAAACATGCGGTATTACTCTTTGCTACCCTCCTATTTTCCAGGTTTGCACCAGAGAAGGGCAGCAACTTAGTCTGTCAGATTCCCAAGTTCACTACTCCCAGGGAAAGGCTGTGATCCATTCATCTTGGGTTGGGTGCTCACTGCTGGGCCAGTCAAGTGATAGTTATGTGTGCATGGGTGTGTGTCTATATGCCAATCTCTGAGGAATTAAAGTGAAAGCTGCCTGTTGGAGGTTGGGTTTTCCAGGAAACTGATTCTGAGATGGAGTTAAGTGTGTAGGATAATTAAGAAGTGCTCTCGGCAATTAGGCAAGCAAAAGAAATTAGGGTATCCAAAATGAAAAGAAAGAAGTAAAATTATCTTTCTGAGTAGATGATTTGATCTTATATATAGAAAAGCAGGGTGACAGTATACAGCTTTGATGTACTGCTTTCCCGATTTTGTACCAGTCAGTTGTTTCAGGTCTGGTTCTGTTGCTTCTTGACTTGCCTACAGGTTTCTCAGGAGGCAGGTAAGATGGTCTGGTATTTCCATCTCTAAGAATTTCCCACAGTTTGTTTTTTGTGATCCACACAGTCAAAGGCTTTAGCATAATCAATAAAGCAGAAGTACATGTTTTTATGGAATTCCCTTGCTTTCTCCATGATCCAACAAATATTGGCAATTCGGTCTCTGGCTCCTCTGCCTTTTCTAAACCAAGCTTGTACATCTGCAAGTTCTCAGTTCATGTACTGCTGAAGCCTAACTTGAAGGATTTTGAGCATAACTTTGCTAGCATGTGAAATGAGCGCAATTGTATGGTAGTTTGAACATTCTTTGGCATTGCCTTTCTTTGGGATTGGAATGAATACTGATCTTTCCCAGTCATGTGGCCGCTGATGAGTTTTCCAAATTTGCTGGCATATTGAGTGCAGCACTTTTAGGATCTTTTAGGATCATCTTTTAGGATTTTAAATAGCTCAGCTGGAATTCCATTGCCTCCACTAGCTTTGTTCATAGTGATGTTTTCTAATGCCCACTTGACTTCACACTCCAGGATGTCTGGCTCTGGGTGACTGATCACACCGTTGTGGTTATCTGGGTCATTAAGACCTTTTGTACAGTTCTCTGTGTATTGTTTCCACCTCTTCTTAATCTTTCCTGCTTCTGTTAGGTCCTTACCGTTTCTGTCCTTTATTGTGCCTATTCTTGCAGGAAATATTCCCTTAATATCTCTAACTTTCTTGAAGAGATCTCTAGTCTTTCCCATTCTGTTGTTTTCCCCTACTTCCTTGCATTGATCACTGAGGAAGGCTTTCTTATCTCTCCTTGCTGTTCTTTGGAACTTTGCATTCAAATGAGTATATCTTTCCTTTTCTCCTTTGCCTTTCGCTTCTCTTCCTTTCTCAGCTATTTGTAAGGCCTCCTCAGACAACCATTTTACCTTTTTGCGTTTTTTTTTCTTGGGGATGGTCTGATCACTGCCTCCTGTACAATGTCACAAACCTCTTTCCATAGTTCTTCGGGCACTCTGTCTATCAGATCTAATCCCTTGAATCTGTTTGTCACTTCCACTGCATAATCATAAGGGATTTGATTTAGGTCATACCTGAATCGCCTGGTGTTTTTCCCTACTTTCTTCAATTTAAGTCTGAATTTTGCAATAAGGAGTTCATGATCTGAGCCACAGTCAGCTCCAGGTCCTATTTTTGCTGACTGTATACAGCTTCTCCATTTTCTGCTACAAAGAATATAATCAGTCTGATTTTAAGTATTGACCATCTAGTAACATCCATGTGTAGAGTCATCTCTTGTGTTGTTGGAAGAGGGTGTTTGCTATGATCAGCTTGTTCTCTTGACAAAATAATGTTAGCTCTTGCCCTGCTTCATTTTGTACTCCAAGGCCAAACTTGCCTGGATATCTCTTGACTTCCTACTTTTGCATTCCTATCCACTGTGATGAAAGAGACATCTTTGTGTGTGTGTGTGTGTGTGTGTTAGTTCTAGAAGGTGTTGTAGGTCTTTGTAGAACCAGTCAACTTCAGCTTTTTTGGCATCAGTGGTTGGGGCACAGACTTGGATTACTGTATGTTGAATGGTTTGCCTTGGAAACGAACAGAGATTATTCTGTCATTTTTGAGATTGCACCCAAGTACTGTATTCTGGACTCTTTTGTGACTATGAGGGCTATTCCATTTTTCCCTAAGGGATTCTTGCCCATGGTAGTAGATATAATGGTCATCTGAATTAAATTTGCCCCTTCCCCTTCATTATAGTTTACTGATTCCTAAGATGTTCATATTCACTCTTGTCATCTTCTGGTTCATCATGTCCAATTTACCTTGATTCATAGACCTAACATTCCAGGTTTCTATGCAATATTGCTCTTTACAGCATCAGACTTTACTTTCACCACCAAACACCCACAGCTTAGCATCATTTCCGCTTTGACCCAGCTGCTTCGTTCTTACTGGAGCTATTATTAATGGTAATTGCCCTCCCTCCTTCACCAATAGCATATTTGGGCACCTTCCGACCTGGGGGCTCATCTTCTGACATCATATCTTTTTGCCTTTTCATACTGTTCATGTGGTTCTCAAGGCAAGAATACTGGAGTGGGTTGCCATTTTCTTCTCCAGTGGACCGCGTTTTGTCAGAACTCTTTACTATGACCCATCCATCTTAGATGGCCTCACACAGAGTGGCTCATTGCTTCATTGAGTTATGCAGGCCCCTTCCCACAATGAAGCTGTGATCCATGAAGGGAAAACAGTATGATACTAGTGTAAAAAATAGACACTTAGGCCAATGGAACAGAATGAGAGCCTGGAAATAAACTCACACATGTATGGTCTACTAATTGTCAAGGAAGCCAAGAATACTCAAAAGGGAAAGAATACTTTTTCCAATAAATGGTATTGGAAAAATTGGATAATCACATGTAGAAGAATTAATTTGGATCCCCATCTTACACCACTAACAAAAATTAATTTGAAATGGGTTAAAGATTTAAACATAAGACCCAAAATGATAAATGGACATGAGTTTGAGCAAGCTCTGGGAATTGGTGATGGACAGGGAAGCCTGGCGTGCTGCAGTCCATGGGGTTGCAAAGAGATGGACATGACTGAGTGACTGAACAGAACTGAACTGAAAACAATAAAACTCCTGGTGGAAAGCATAGGGAGAAAAGATTCTTGACGTTGGTCTTAGCAGAAATTTCTTGGATATGATCCCAAAAGCACAGGCAACAAAGTAAAAATAAACAGGTGGAACTATAGCTACTTAAAAATATTTGGCATAGCCAAAGAAATGAACAACAAAATGAAAAGGCAACCTACAGAATGGAAGAAAATATTTGCAAATCATAGATCTTATAGGGGTTAATATCTAAAATACATAAAGAACTCATACAACTCAGTAGCAAAAAAAAAAAAGTCCAATTAAAAAATGGGCAAAGGACCTGAATAGATACTTTTTGGAAGAAGGTATAAAAATGCCCAGCAGACATATGAAAAGGTGCTTGACAGCATTAGTTATCAGGGAAACGTAAATCCAAATCACAATGAGATATCACCTCACACCCATTAGAATGGCTATGATCAAGAAAACAAGAGATAAGTGTTGGTGAGGACCGGAGTAAAAGGAACCCTCATGTACTGTTGATCAGAATGTAAATTGGTACAGCCATTTTGAAAAACACTATAGTGGGTCTTCACAAAACTAAAAATAGAACTACCCAGCAATCCCACTTCCATATCTCAAAAAGATATCTACTCTCTTATGTTCATTGTAGTCTTATTCACAGTAGCCAAGATATGGAAACAATTGAAGTATCCATCAAAGGATGAACATGATGATGTGAGATATACACACATACACAAACACACACACACACGCGCGCGCGTTATTCAGTCATGAGAAAAAAGGAAATCCTGTCCTTTGTGAAACTTGTTTTAACCTTGAGGGCATTATGCTATGTGAAATAAGCCAGAGAAAAACAAGTACTATGTGTGTACGTGAAATAAGTCAGAGAAAAACAAGTACTACGTGGTATCACTAATCTGTGGAATTTAAGAAAGCTGAACTAAGAGAAACAGAGTTACCAGGGGCTGGGGATGGGAGAAATGGGAAGATGCTAGTCAAAGGGAATAAACTTCCAGTTATAAGAGTAACAAGTTCTGGGAATCTAATGGGAAATTATAGCTAATAATGCTGTATCATATATTAGAATGTTGCTAAGAGAGTAGATCTTAAATGTTTCCACCACAACAAAGAAATGATAATATGATAGTAATCATTTTGCAAAATTTCAAATATATAAAATAAACACAGTGTACACCTTAAATTACACAATGTTATTTGTCAGCTATATCTCAATAAAGATGGGGGACAAAGTGCTCTTGAAATCAACACCTGTAGAATAGAGGGGAAGAAAGCAGGACTGAGAAGTTGGAGAAATTAAGCTTTGATGCAAGCCTGGTGACAGACTTGGTGACTCTCTGGGGAGTGCTGGAGTTAGAGTAGTCCTGCAGAGTTGTCCAGAGGTGGGTGGAAATGACCAGAACTTTATACACTTGCACTGATCATTGGATGTGGGCTGCATGTAGTATCCACCACAATGCCTACTTAGAGGGATAAACAAAAATAAATACAGTTCTAGCGCATTTGAATCATAATACCATATGTACTCCAGAAAGATGGTATTGATTTTATTCAATTTCAACCTGTTATTTCAGAACTCTTCCAACTCAGCTTTAAAAAGACCAAAAACCCAATTAAAAATGAGCAAAGGATTTTAATAGACATCTTGCCCAAGACAATGTACAAATGGCTAATAAGCACATGAAAAGATGCTTAACATCATTGTTATGAGGGAAATATGAATCAAAACCACAATGAGGTACCATTTCACGCTCACTAGGATGGCTAAAATAAAAATGGCAGTCAGTAACAAATGCTGGCAAGAATGTGAACAAATAGGAACACTACTGGTGGTAGGTAAGAAAAAATGGTACCATAACTTTGGAGAACAGTTTGTTAGTTTCTTAAAAAGTTAAATATAAATTTACCGTATGACCCAGTCAATCCACTCTTAGGAATCTACACAAGAGAAATGAATGCTTATGTTCATACAAAGACTTGTATGTAGATATTCACAAAATGTGGTGTATCCATACAGTAGAATATTACTTTGCTATAAAAAAGAATGAAGTATTGATGCATGCTATAACATGCATGAACCTTGACAACATCATGCTAAATGAAAGAAGCCAGACTCGAAAGAACGTATATTGTACAATTCCATTTATATGAAAAGTCCAGAAGAGGGAAATCTGTAGAGACAATTGTTGCCTGGGATTGGGATGATACAAATGTTCTAAAGCTGTATTGTGGTGATGGCTGCACAGCTCAATCAGTTGGCTACAAATCATTGGATTGCACTTTTAAAAATCGGGTGAATTTTATGGTAGTAAGTTATGCTGCAATGAAGTTGTTTTAAAATTTTTAACTGGATCTAGAATATTTAATAAAATCCTAGAAAACTACAATCATTGCTTCTCAGCCTTTCAGGTAAGATCAAGTGTGCCTGTGGCCTACAGTCCATGGGATCACAAAGAGTCAGACACGACTGGGTGATTAACATCTAAGTGCAATAAAACTACAATCAAAGGGAGATCTAAAATTAATTTAAGATACCTCATTCAACCAATCTTTACTTCTAAAGCATGTTGGACATTTCATACTCTAACTCAGAACGCTTTCTTAGCATAGAAGGAGTAGCACAGCAGATAATTTTCTTTTAGGGCAGTGAAGTAGATCTAGAATTCATCAGTGTCAGTAGATAAAACAGTGCTCAATTTTAAAAAAAGTTCAGTAGGTAATACGCAGACATGTTTACTTTTATCAGCCATTTAATAATACCTATGTGAAGAATTAATTTCCTGTTACCAACACAAAATTAATACAATTCATCATTACAATGGGTGAGAACAGCTGTGTGAGCCCAGTCACCCTCAGATTTGTGAGTAAAATATTTTATTGGTTTTAGGTCACCATTTTGGGGTGATTTGTTACACAATAATTTTTTAAATATCTATTTTTGTTTATTTATTTTTGGCTGTGCTGGGTCTTTGTTGCTGCAAGCCGGCTTTCTCCAGTTGTGGCAAGCAGGGGCTACTCTCTAGTTGAGGTGCTGAGGTTTGTTTTTGTAGTGGCTTCTCTTGTCGCGGAGCACGGGCTCTAGGGTGTGTGGGTTCAGTAGTTGTGGCACATGGGTTTAGTTGCCCTACAGCATGTGGGATTTTCCCAGACCAGGGATCTAACCTGTGTCCCCTGCATTGGCAAGTGGATTCTTAACCACTGGGCCACCAGGGATTCTTAACCACTGGAACACCAGGGAAGTCCCGTATCAGTTGATACCCTGAACATGCCCCAAACCCTGCAACAAGAGGAGCCCTCAGGAGATAGGCATCTCTCTACCGATCCCGCCATCGCTCTCAGTGGCTTCACCATTCTCTTAGTTGCGTAGGTTTGAAACTACAAAGTCATTCTCTGCGTATTTTCTCTCATCCCCCAGGACTGGTCACTTGCCAAGTCTTGTCAGTTCCACATTGCTTACCTCTGTTTCCTCCCTTCAGGCTCCCTGTCATTATCTTGCTTTCGCTCTTGCCTACATTATCACAGTAGGCTCCTAAGTTCTCTCTCTGCCTCTAGGCTCTCTCATTCCAATCCTGTGGCCTCTAAACCTTTAGAAGTTTCCACAGCCTAATCTCTAGCATTCAAAGTCTTACTGACCTCCAGTCTCACTGTCATTATCCTGTTTTGCCTCTTGCTGAGATGATTACAGTAGTCTCCTAAGTTCTCTCTCTGCCTCCAGGATCTCTCATTCCAATCCTCTGGCCTCTAAACTTTTTAAGCTTCCATAGCCTGAATGCTAGCATTCAAGGTCTTTCCTCAATTGACCCATACCTTCCTGTGATGGTTTACTGGACGTGTCAACTTGGCTAGCTCAAGGGGTGCCAAGATATTTGGTCAAACTATTCTGAGTGTTTCTGTAAGGGTGTTTTTGGATAATATTAATGTTTAAATTGGTGGACTTTGAGTAAAGCAGATTGCCCCCCCTAATGTAGATGGGTCTCATCTAATCATTAGGAGGTGTGACTAGAGCAAAAAGACCAGCCTCCCCCAAGCAAGAGAGAATTATCTAGTAGATTGCCTTCAGACTTCACCTGCAACATTGGTCTTCCTGGCTCTACAGTAGCTGGTCTTCAGACTAGAACTGCACTACCAGCTCTCCCGAGTCTCTAGCCTACAGGCCTTTGGACTTGAACTGTAGAATCAGCTCTTCTGGGTCTCCAACTTTCCAGCCCACCCTGTAGATTTTGGACTTGCCAGCTTCCATAATCATGTGGGGCTTCCCAGGTGGTTCAGTGGTAAAGAATCCACCTGCCAATGCAGGATACGCAGGAGAGGCGTGTTCGATCCCTGGGTCAAGAAGATCCCTAGGAGAAAGGAATGGCAACCCACTCCAGTATTCTTACCTGGAGAATCCCATG